GATGGTTGTGTTTCCATGAAATACAACATCATAAAGACGCTAACAGAAGAGCAACAACAGTCTTAAAGACTCGCTAGGACTGACAGGAGAATTGTCATTAATTTACCAGCCAGTTGTCTAGTACACACAGACATGGTGACAGACGGATAGCCAGCCAGCCGGCTTCCATTAAGTATGTAGTCCCATGCATTTCCCCAATAACACTAATAATTTATGTCTGTGACATTGACAGTGGTATTACATTAACAACATGTTGTTTGTTTGTCTATCCACAGTCTGGATTGCATTGCAAAGAGCAGTATACATGTATCTAAGTGAATGTATTGGCCCTCAATATTCCCCGTCTTTGATACATTGTGATGTCCTCTTCACAAAGCACCCATATTTTTAAAAATTTTATGAAGTTCACTGTACACAATGTGAAGCAAATTAAGATGTTTGCCGAATCAGTGAATTATTATATCAACTCAAAATTTATTTAAAAGAAATTTGTTTAGCCAGGCGATGCAATACTTGACATTTCATTAAAATATTGACACATGTTGAGAAATATAGCATGTTGTTCAATGTCAGTTGTTCTAATTGGTTGGAACAAGCTGTATGAATGCATTTGATTATTTTCACACAGTATCCTGCTATCTGACCTTCACTGAGTCAAAGGTCAATGAGTTCCTTAATTATTTTGATGTAGAAACATAAGCACCAGCGAACAGTGTTTGCACAGCAAACTGGGTAGTTAAGGATGGAATTCTATGATGCAGACATGCATCAGGGTGATAATATTTAGGCTTATCTGGCGAATTGGCATAATCTCTAGATCAGTGTCTGATTCATGCCACTTATCTCCCTATGATGTAGTTATCACCATGGCAACAGACATAAATATGATCAAAATGGAGTCTTCCTATTTAATTCCCATACCACTGGGAGTTCCATAATTTAAATACATTAAAATTCAGATTATTATTATTACAGACCTACAACTTGTGAAAAGTTTATTGATATTATGACAACATCAAATACAGAAACAGTTCAAAGACTGCGTTTTTTGTTTGATTACCGTAACCGAAATTGAGAAATGACCTATATAGTAATGTATTGCTGTAACTGTACAAAATGTGTTTAATTTAATTTTGGAAAATTGTTGGGAGTTTTATTTTGTGTTGTTGGGTTTGAACTACAAAAAAATAATAACTTTAAATTGAAATTGACTCAATAATTTCATGTTTTGAGTCTGACTATGAAAAGTTCCTTGGTAAAATATACATGTATGCTAGTTCTAACATTGATAGAGTGGCAATACTATACCCATGGCCTGACTGGCTAGCTGGAACAAGTACAAACTATAAAATCTATTGAATATAATGCATATTTATATAGAAATAATGACATGTTGATGTAATTATCAGTACTGACCATCGTTATTCACCTTGGATGGGAATACATGTATGTCTTAATTATGCATGACCTCCAAAAGGTCATACATCCTGGTATTTTTTCACTATCAATGAGAATTTCTCAATTATTTTTTTCAGAATGTCTGCAAGAACTTGTCAGTGATTTGAAATTATCACCATGACAACGATGCCACGATGAACAACTTCTCAGGGCTTAGCATAATGCCTATACAAGAATGCATGAAAAATTACCATATTTGCTCTTTATGTCATATTAATGCCACTTGTTTGTCCTATGGTTAAAATAAGTCAATTTTAATTATAAAGCATAAAATAAATGCAATTTTCGGTTTATGTGCACTTCTGTTAGAGATGATGCACTTCTAATAGACCAAATACGGCATAGTAAATTCCTGACATTTACAAAAAGTGAAAGTACCGGTAGCTTAGCAAGTCAAAAATTCAGAATCTTCCTCATTATTTTGATTGGTGCATCCATATTTTCAGAAGACAATATGCCTCCAGCTTTTATGGTACAGAAGACAATATGCTTCTAGCTTTCATGGTACAGAGCGTAGGAGTAAAACATTGAAAAGAAAACAATAACAACCATTAAAAGCCATGGTTGAGCAAGCCTAAGCCACCCACATCCATGAAAAACATTCCCACCATCAAAACAAAAAAAATCTAAGAGCGGGAACTTTAGAACCAAAATTTTGATATTTTAGATTTCAAGTTGAAAAAAATGCCATCGAATAAAACGATAATGTTATTTGCCTGTGAGATTTCTGGGTAAAAATTGGTTATATGAATGGAAATCAGCTTTGTCTTTGAGCAAAATGAGTCATCAACTGTAAAGTGGGAGATATCAATAAATACAATAAAATCGGCCAATCTTGCACATGTGGAGAAAATAATAATGAATCAGATTATAAAACTTTTTGAAAAGTATTTAGAGTTGTTACAAAGGAATTGGATCAATCAGAAATTTATTATTATTTATAATCTAGATAAATAATTTTAAAAATGTTACAACATTCCATTGTGTATTGGTCTGTTCTGGCATTGTAGCTATCATAACACGTCAGCCTTAATTAACAATTACGTCATGTTCGTCAGGTTTTTTGATACGCACACACCCAATTAGTAACAGCAACAAATATGTATACAGTATGTACAAAACAAGATGTTCAGGCATAGGGGGAAAACACTGATGCATACTAAAAATATCATTAATATATATATTAAATGTCTCAGAATGTCTAGTGAAGTGATAAAACTGAATATGTACAGCGCCTGAATTTTATTTTTGAACTTTTGAAATTAATAACATGCAGACAAATTTGATGAAATATTTAAATTTTTTTGTTGTTGATTATTTTTTTTTCACTTTATGGTCCAACAAACATACAGTGAATTTCTGGGAGGCATTTTAGGGAAATTTTAAAAATATATATGAAACATTTACCCTGAAACACCCTTGAGCTTTATTCGAATACAAAGAATACGCTTTTTATTGGCTAGAGAAGACATTTGGTGATGCCCTTTACGCACAAGTCTTTTGCTTGTTTTCTCCAATCATTGGCCGATTTTTTGCCATGTATTCGTTGACAAGTTGTGATTGTGTTTTAAACGTCATTTGAAATTTATAAAACATTTATGATTATCCCATAATCATGCCTTCACAAAATTAATTTTTTTTAGTATGGAATTATCAATTAAGATTACATTTTGCATGGGTAAGTAACAGTAATAATAAAGAAGCCATGGTTGAATAGAGTTTACAGCCAAACACTGAAGGAGTTTAATGATAAGCTACACAATGAAAATTGAACAGGTGCCAAAACAGACAGCATAAACAAGACTTAAAGTTTTGTACCATATCCTGTGACATACAAAATGTAGGCATACGCTACAGTACTAGTTCTTCAAATTTCAAACCAACAAAGTGCAGAAAATTATCAGTTTAATATAAATAAATAATTGATACTTTATGAGTAACAGTATTACTTTATAATAAATGAGTAACCAGGTATCCTCTATAAATAGAATTTATACATTGATTTTTGAAAACTTTTCCACATGATGTATCAATTGAAGTGAATCATAATCGTTGACCATCAGTAAAGTCCTGATTAAAGTCCTGTCATGAAAATACATCAATCCCCCTTACACTTTGTCAGTGTGTGCTGGGAAGGCCAAATTTATCTTCTGTATATGAATTTTGAGGAGCCTTGTTTTAGCTTGACCCTGGATAGACCAAGGTCATTTGAATGTTAAAGCAGTATGAAGGACAACAAACAGCAAGAAAGATTTCATATAGCGATTTACAATTTGAAACTTAGAAACCGTATAAAATGGCAATTAGAACTTGAAAACGAGCAATTGGTCAAACTAATGCAGTTTAATTTTTTTATTATTGTTTAAATACTTTTATCAATTTGAATGCCTAGTCAGTATTCTAATCAAAAACTTTAAAGTTATTGAAAAATTTTCAGAATTAAAACAACATCCACATTTTCAATCCATATACACTTCTGTAATGTGAATGCGAAATTTCCATTCAATAATCAAAGAAGAGAAAAAAAATTATCAGTCACCAGATATATAACATCATTTAGAAGAAGCATTTTTATGCTAACCCTTAGCATAAAAAAACAAGCAAAATGGAAATTCATTATGCATATAATAGCAAGCGACTATAAATTTCAGTCCCACAAGATATACGAAAAAAGTTATTCTGATACGATTACACAACTTAAAACTATATTCACATGCAAGAATAATGAAATATTTTAAATTTATTTTAAAAAGTTCTCAATAACAAACAAAATATTTCAATTTCCATGTGGGAAAACAGATTATGATTAATATCCAAATCAGAATATTACTAAATTTAAACAATAGCAACACCCAGCATAAATTTTGTACAAGGCCACTATTCCCTGAATACAATGGATACACACAAAAAGGGACGACGGATGGAGATCCGGGGACAGTGCGTCGGTTAACCATATGGCCGGGCAACTCTGTACAATGAGTATATCCCAGGACGTACACTGAAACCATACAAGTTAGAATGAATTGGAATTAAAATATATATCCAAAATATGGAACAAGCGATGTGTAATCTCAGAAAATGAAATCGCTTTGTGTATAATCTCGGTTTCACTATGCAAGTTGATATGGGGGTAAGACAAAATTATCAAGGATGCGACGTAAGAACATCACATGACCCACACAGTTCGCGGTCGACGATCGATTCGTTTTTTTTTTTAATAAACACGCATTTCACGGTAAAAGAAATGAAATCGCTACTCGAAATAATATTCAAGGCAGTTACACAAGTGATTGGGACTAATGAACACGCGAAAAGACAGCGGACGGTGATACAAACGATCAAAACACGTTTCACAGCACAGACGGTTGCCCTCATTCATTTCAATGGTATTTCCGTTGCTGACCCACTCTGAACCAAGTGACGAGGGATAGTGTACGCAAGTGCGGTTCGTTGCGCAAATCCATCGCATTAAACATTATTAAGAATGAATTCTACGATAATTGTACTCACAGTTGAAGTAGCTATTAAGAATATTAACTTACCGATAGAAAACAGCGGTATTTCGACAAGAATTGGTCAACCTTTCGTTCAAAACACGGGACAGAACGGAACAAGTGATCTTGAAAATGGTGTCCTTTCGATTGCGGATATTTGCATAACAGGCATCAATTAGCATAACAATGCGTTGACGTATACGGTTTGAAGTTTTACGACTTTTTAGCTCTTGCACAGTCCTATATTACCTAATAGGAAAAGTGACACATTCACTACCATAAGTACATACAATCACTATAACCAACTAATAACACGTAACTTTTAATTTATCGTCTGGTTCCACGGTTTACATGTAATAACGCTACAACCAATGGTCGGTTCAGCCAATCAGAACCGCCAAATCCTTATATTGGGTGGGGTCGGAATAAATGAAAACCGGAAGCATTGCCATTTGTTTACGTGCCAATCAAATAAAAGCCCGCATTGACATCACTTTGTCAACGGCTATCGTCGGTATAATAAGCGAGATATGGCGACAAAGGTGTAGAGAATTCCCGATAGAAACTGTCCTAGGGAATAACTGTGAACCGTTAAGAAGCCATATACCCGGGCCTTGTACCTTCATAAATTCACAGTCCATGATTGTACCTGAGACTGTTACACAAGCTGAATATGTATCGAGTATGATTTCAAGACTAGTATTTATTTATTTATTTATTTATTTATTTATTTATTTATTTATTTATTTATTTATTTATTTATTTATTTGTTTGTTTGTTTGTTTATTTGTTTATGTGTTTGTTTATTTGTTTATTTGCACATACAGTAGATGTTCGGAGTCTGCGGTGTTTATTTTCAGTAGAGAGCGGTTTAATTTGAGGATAGCGCCGTGTTCAGCCAAACCAGAAACGCTCAATGAAGGACAAGCTATTCTTTTGTAAATGGGTATTTTCGGTGCAAAATCAAATAGTTTTTTTTTTTTTTTAGCGAAAATACCCATAGTTCTTTACGATAGAGCAGTTTGGCCGAACGCCCGCTATCCGTTAAAAGGACTTATACATTTGCGACTTTTCTGAACTACGAGAATCATAAAACAAGAACAGTCTGATATTTTGCGGCGTGTATTTTTTTCATTTCATCATTTTATTGAAACAATAATTTGTATTATTTGGTAACCATCATTTTCATTACGCACACCTGTTTTGTAATGCTAGTATCTCTACTGTCAACCAGCCTGTCTAAATAAATAATAAATTTAAATTTAAAAGACTGCATCAAAATTACATCCTGTCCAGATATGGTTGCTAAGGTGTAGCTACAAAAAATGCGTCAACTTTGTGGCTAGAATATTATCATAATAATTCCATTTTACTAAAACGAAATAGCCCAATCAATTGTTTTCATACGAGTGAAACTAAAAGTGATGTTTTTATTGCACTATGAAAACAAGAAAGCATAACAAAAACAGTCAGTTTTCTCTGCAAGGAAACAAAACTGACTAAAAGTAAACAATGACTTGTAAAATTTTATATTTTTATAACAAGTATTGTTTTCATCATAATTAAAACCAATATATCCAAATGTGATTATTGGCACAGCATGACTTATCAAACATATACAACGCGTAAAAGGGTAACAACTAACTGTTTGTATATGCTAAATTTATCAGTTATGTACGTTAACGGGATTACCTACACTACAGATTACTAGTAAGCGTTGCACACAAGTTGAATTTTCGATGTGGACATCGCGTCTTTGTGTCTCCAGAGGGCATTAAAGCTTGTCCTCGACGCTTCAGTGACAATCAAGCCCGAGTGACCACTAACGTGTGAATGAATGATTGCAAATATGAGTCGAGTTTCAACTTATCATGGACTTAGCGATTGAACATTAGAAACTCCGGGTATGGCGGATCTAGGAAAAATATCTATACAGAGAAAAATCTAAAAACGATCCTACTGGGGAAATCACATAAAAAAGAACTTTAATAAAATTCGAGCACACGTGTATCGTGGCATTAATAAAAACTTATCAATTTTTATTATTTTGACCATTGATAAAAAAGGATGCTTTGATTATTTCGAGTACACTTTCGCTGTAGCGAGATGAAAGATTGGAATGAGTGGAAAACTACTCTATCATTGAGGGCAGTATACAATCTGATTAAAATAAGATCCTAGTTTGGGCTTCTTTTTTTTCCTAAATATGTTTGTTTAGTATTTATTTTTATCATATACTATGTTACTTATTCATGGCCTAAAAAAATGTTGGTAATCGCGAAAGCCCGTACGAAAAAAAAAAGTAATACGAAACAACAGTAAATATTATAAGGTATATTATTATTAATAATAGCCTGTTTACACATTACGAATATTAATTATTTGTGTTCTAAAGTCAACTTCAGTCATGATTAACAAAATAAAACCTGTATTATTATTACTTTTAATATATTTTTTTCAAAACGTTTTGAGGTTCTCAGCTTGGGTTGCCAACGTAAGTCAAATTCGGTACCGACGCACAGTTTCTAACACGCTTATATTTTGAAGTCATGATAAATGTGATATGTCTTCATGAAATTACAAGCAGGGTTTCAATAACCGTTGAGGCACTGTGATCATTTTTTCAGATTCTTTGGACACACACTGCATACCTGCGTGTACAACCCAAAAAAACCGAATTCGTACAAATATTAGCTGTTGCTGATATAGCTGTTGTTTGTGATGCGCTGGAGCAAGCGATTGTTGAATGACACAATATATTCAGCAAATTAACCCAGAGATTTACCAATCAAAAAATACTCCCACAAATTTTAAATCTTCAGAAATAATTTAATTGAATCTTCCATACAAACACATATATATAAATATATTTTCACTCGCAGACATGTTGTTTCCCCTGTAAAAATGAATCCATGGGCGTACAATCCTAAAACCAATTTAAAAAATACTCCCACATATATTGGGTCTTCAGAAATAATTTAATTGAATCATGCATATCCGTTTTTTTTTTAGGCGTGCTCATTTCCTCTACCTTCAGACTCTCTCCTTTATGTCCGATGAAAACCAACTGGCAAATGTTAAAATATTTGGAAAATAAACCCATGTATGTACAGGATATTCATGCATAGATCAGGCTGTTTTCTTCACTTTTACACTTTCTACGTTTCAGCGAGGTAGGCGTTAATAACATACAGTATTAAGCAATTTCTTAAAAATCGATCTCAGAAATAATTTTAATTAAATAATGCCTGTTCGTTTCAGGCAGAAAATAGTCGTTTTTTTACATGAGATTTTCTTCTCTTCACCGACGATGGCGTGAGAAGCATTCTGAAAGTAAATCCGTGAACGTACTAAAGAATCCTAAAACCGATGGGTCTTTTTAAATAAGTTTAAGTTGAATCGTGCATGTCAGTTTTAGCAAAGACTATAGAGAAGATATCTTCTCTATAGTCTTTGGTTTTAGACAGCAAAAAGTTGTTTCTTCAAATTCAGATTTTTTTTTTCAATGAAGCGGGCGCAAAAAAGCAAAAAAAAAAAGGTTTTTATTTTGTCGAACATTTCATATTTGCACCCTCGTTGTTATAAAATAGAATTCCAATGCTTTAAAGTAAAAAAAATACCATGTTTGATGGCTAAATTGAACATGTTCGGTTAAACTAAAATTATTTCTGGGAGTATTTTCAGGTTTTACTGTTCTACATCCCCGGGACTATTCGCCAACATTTTAAATACTAGTATGCTATTTGGGGGAGTGAAGAAAATAACCTAAAACAACATTACTGTATTAGTCAACTAAACTGTTTCTGGAAGACAAAAACATAAAATATATTTTAAGATAGGACTGTACGGTTTATTTGCCAACTAAGTTTTAGTAATGTGTCTCCAAGGGTTTATTTGTCGAATATGGTGTTATAATTCAGTTATGTCGTTATCGTAAAAAAATAGACGGTTGGAAAACAAGTGCTTTCGACCCAAGACGGGAATGTGTGAATCATTTCGAAGACACAAATATGTATGGAAGTACTTGTTTCAGTTTGGTACTACTAGTATTAACATATTTCAAACATTAAAGCAGGAGGGTCGTCACCTGCGCACGCGCAGGAATTAAGTCCCAGGCGACGATAACAACACACGCTTGGAACGCAAAGGATCATGGATAGACGCTTGTTGGTAAACATTGACACGCTATGGCCATCTAACCCATGCTTAGGTGACGACTCCTCCGCTTTAATTTCCCAATTTTGTGCCTACCATGTAGTCAGGTAGTGTTCTTGAAAACGCGGCCTG